ATTGATCCCCTCAAAGAAAGCTCATCAAGTCCTCTGCACTCCCTCAACAATCTATTCATAACAGCATGTGGCAATCTGCTCCCTTCATAGCATATCTGTTTTGCTCACTAGATCCTCATGCTTCTTAAGGGTCGGGATCAGCTCTTATTTTATTGTGTACCACAGTGTCAGTACTTAGCCCGGTGTCTGGCAGACTGGGCACAGCATAAATGTTTGAAGAATAAATGCACTTGGATCTCTTGGCCCCTAATCCAGCTGGGCTCTGTGTGTGGTATTACTTAGTTGTATCAGAAGCATGGATAAGAGCTTGTATGACATGGATTATTGTAATGGTTGGGCTAACAGACCCAATTAGTGTAGTCTCTACTGAGATCCAAATCAAGGCCTTTATTATTGGAGTGGCCAGAGAGCCAAATGACACCTCAAGAATCAGATCCACAGGGATTGGGGAATATGGTGTACAAATGTATGTTTGTGTAATACTATGACTAAAATATGTTCCACATCAGACTAATTCTTCTGTCACTAATCCCTCTTCATAGGAACTGGGTAGATATCTGAGGCTAGTTAAACCCTCTCCTGTGCTCTTCCCTTGAGCTCCACACTTGCCCTTACCAGGTGGTGATATCTAGAGAAACAGAAGTTGCTGTTATTTAACTCTAGATTCTCCTGTACTAGGTACTCTTCCTTCATGTTGGCTTCTGTTGCTGCAGTTGTGATGATATGTGCTCTTATCGGCATGTTTCCTTTTAGCGTCTTTCCTTTAGCACATTTATGATGCAGGAGAGACCAATTTCCTGGGCAACGCTAGAAGTCCTACAACCCGTTATTTGTCCCACTTTGCATGTTCACATCTGCTCGGTTCATTTTTCCCACCCAGTACCAACAACCAGGATTCTCCAAGTTGTACTATCTTCTCAGCATCTGCTTCTCAAGGTCGTACACTTTGCTGGCTCCCTACCTCCAGCTCCAACTGCAAGAATAGGTCTGGGGTACTATTAGTTCTTCTAAATTCCATGATAAGTCACAGATACTGCCAAAGTCATAATGGCCAAACCATTCTAAATGGCCAAATCTAGTGAATGGTCACCATGCCAATGACCTCCCTCTCAAGTTTTCGTTGGTCTTGTTGACCATTTTAGCTCTATTTTTGAGTAAGATATAGTGTCCCAGTCTTGCCTCCTCACCAACACAACACCACAAGCCCACTGGTTAAATCTCTGCATACTCCTACAACCCTCCCTTTTTACTTAATCTCCCATTGCAGTATTGTCTGTCTGCACCATGGTGATAAGATATTGATCCTGCATGAAAAGAACCATCCTTAACATGACGGAGATATAACTTACCTCTAGATCTACTCTAACCGAGTAGAAAAACTCTCGTTAGGACTTTTAATTCATTTACCTCTTATGTGAATACTGTATGTGACTCACATTTCTTCAGTTTCCCCTGCCCCCAGATCCAAACAGATGGATGGATGATAGATGATAGGTAGGTAGGTAGGTAGGTAGGTAGATGATGATAGATGATAGATGATAGATGATAGATAGATAGATAGATAGATAGATAGATAGATAGATAGATAGATAGATAGATGATAGATAGATGATA